GCAATGGGTGTTCAAAGTTCGCAACATTAGATTTGAAACCAAGCTCACAGTTTATCAAGCAGTCATGATCCTCACCTTACTGTACAAAGCTGAGACATGGATAATATACAAGAGACACCTCAAGTCACTGGAGAACTATCATCAATGCTGCCTGTGGAAGATCCTTCATATCCAGCGGGAAGACAGACACACCAACGTTAGCATCCTCTTACAAGTAAACACCATGAACATTGTGGCGATGATCATCCAACATCAACGTCACTGGGCTCTCTACATCATCTTGATGTCCGACTGCAGACTCCCAAAGCAAGTTTTATTCTCCCAGCTCAGTCAAGGCATATGCTCAAGAAGAGGGCAGAGAAAAAGCTTCAAGGATGGCCTCAAGACCAACTTAAAAAAATGTAACTTTGATATCAACTCCTGGGAGACTATCACACAGGACAGTTCCAAATGGAGGAAGAGTCTGCTAAAAGGATCTCAATACTTGGAAAAATTAGGATGACAGTAGATGGAAAAGTGGGAGCAGCAGAAACAGCGTGTCATGGACTAAATCAAGAATCCAGAGTCACCCGACCCACCCCACATGGAAACACATGCCCAAGTTGCAACAGAGTCTGTCAATCCCAGATCAGCCTCATCGGCCATCTTCATGCCCACAGGTAAAGCAATCGTGAAAAACAATCATCCTCAACTGTGAGGGACTGCTGATGGATCCATCCTAAAGGTTCCCTGCCTGATGGGACTCATGTCTTGAAAGCACCCTAGCCTTTCTATATCTGGAATGTTTTTGGCGATGGCTGCAGAAATGGCAATTTATCTGCTTTCCAGGTCTTCATCTAAAAAAATTCATCCTCCAGAGATTTGGCTGAAAGTGAGACACTGAGCCAGCAAAATCTGGGAACTGGGCCTTGCTGCCTTCATGAGGAGGCTCTTTTCCACAAGGAAAAGAAAAATGTATTCAGTGTTGTAGATCTAATTGTGACAGCCAGCAGGGGTCTGACTTGCAGCAGAAATGTTCTATGCCCAACCACCCCTTACTTTATCAGTCAAAACTGTTACTCTTGCTGATTTATAGGAATTTACTGCTGTATCAAAAGAATGTTTGCACATCAGGAAGAAACTTTTTTCTTATGATTCACTGATTAATTCAGCTTTGTTATTTGCATTCTTTGTAAAGAGATTTTGATAACAGCATATTTCAGTATCCTGCTCTCTGACTGACATTTGTTTTGCTTTTTTTTTTTTACTGTTTCCTGGCAAATGGAAAGTGTGCACACACCAATCTGGCATGAAAAAAGAGGAGATTCCTTACATTTTTAAGAAGCAAACTGGCTTTGTACAAGTCTGAATAATAGCCCAGCAACCTAAGTGCCAATCCTGTCTCTTCCATTGACATTTTGCATGACCCTGTCCAAGTCAGCAAAGTAAGGACCCTGGACTTCAGAAAAGCAGACTTCAACTCACTCAGGAAACTGATGGGTAGGATCCCCTGGGAGGCCAATCTGAAGAAGAAAGAAGTCCAGTAGAGCTATTTGTACTTTAAAGAAACCTTATTAAAGCTGCAGGAACGAACAATCTTGATGTTCAGGAAAACTTAACAAGTATGGCAAAAGACCAGCTTGGCTTAGCTGAGGACTCTCCAGTGAGCTAAAACACAAAAAGGAAGCTGACCAGAAGTGGAAACCTGGACAAACTACTAGGGAAGAATATAAGACTGCTTGGGCCTGCATGGATGAAATCAGAAAGGTCAAACCACACTGGAGCTGCAGCTAGCAAGGGACATGAAAGGTAACAAGAAGGGTTTCTACAAGTATGTCAGGAACAACAGGAAGAGCAGGGAAAGTGCGAGTCCCTTATGGAATGGGGGAGGCAGCCTAGTAACAGATGATGCAAAAAAGGTCGAAGTACTTGATGCTTTTTTAACCTCAGTCTTCACATGCAAGGTCAGCTACCAGACTACTGCACCTGGAAGCACAGCTTGGGGAAGAGGTGAACAGTAGGCCTGTGCGAAGCAGCTAGTATTCGCTTTGGATTCGGATTTGGCCAATTCGAGGGACAGTGATTCAAATCACTGTCATGAATTGATTCAGCTGAATCTCATTCAGAGAGAATCTCATTCAGAGATACGGCTGATCTGAATCACCCAAGCCCATCCCCCACCCGCTCTCCCAGACCAGCAGTGGCTGCCCCACCCAGCCCAGCTCCCGGTACTGGAAAAAAAAAAGGCCCAACTCACTGGGTGCTACCTGGCGCAGGGGGGAGGGCCAATCCCCGCTGCCCCATGCTGCGTGGGGGGCTCTGCACGATAGATATTAGGAAACGTTTTCTCACTAGGCGGGTAAGTAAAGCACTGGAGGCTACCCAGAAAGACTGAGGAATCTCCATCCTTAGAAGTTTTTAAGACCCAGAAAGCAAAGCCCTGGCTGGGATGAGATAGTTGGGGATGGTCCTGCTTTGAGCAGGGGGTTGGACCAGAAGACCTCCTGAGGTCTCTTCCAATCCTAATTTTCTATGATTCTATGATGCTATGTCACTTCATTTCTTTGTGCCTGTTTCCTCTTCAACCCTTTGCTTAAACTGTAGACATTTGTCACTATGTGTTTGGACAGCAGGCTCCCACTGTAAACTGGACCACCTATATGGCAAGGTTCACAAGAGAAACTCAGGCACCCAGTCCAAAATTTAGATTTAATTAACAAAGCAGGTGATCCTCCACCTATGCAACTTGCAGGCTTTGATGCAGTTTACCTCACACACACATGCTTCATCCCCCCCACTCCCCAACACATACAAAATGGAGCAAAGAGTGGTGGTTCCAATAGTGCAGTCTTGGAGCACTCACCTGGCAAGGCATCTGAGCTATGCCTTATAATGTCTAGCCTAAGCACCCCTTGTGCATCTAGTCTTAGGTGCTACAAAATGTAACTTGGCACTAGACAGCCATAAACTGATTTTAAAACATATTATACTTGGGCCTAAGATTTGCACCAATGGGAATTAGAAGCAATTACATCAGTGTAAAGACAACTGCACTCGCATAGAACTGATGGGAGATCAGAATGAGGCCAATAACTTGCGTAAATCTATGTTAAGTTAAACATCTGCCAAGCTGTACATGATCCCCATGTTAATCCCAGAAAACTACTATGACACCTAAATCAAATCTTAAATGTTGACCAAATGGCATTTAGAGAGGCAGTCATTCTTAACAGTGAAATCACTGTCACCAACAATGAGAGGCAGATAATCACCAGTTCTTCACATACTATTATCACTGTTATTCATATAGGAATAAGAGCTCTCCATTAAATCACTGCATGGATTACCAGGCAGAGAATTCCAATATGCAGGCTTGGGGGATATTGCATGAGTCTTCATTCCACCACTCCAAGCAAAGAAGGAAGAACTGGCCCCCTGCCTCTGCCTAACCCCATCCAAACTACAAGGGTTTCTACTGCTGAACTGATGCAGGTAAGAAAAAACACATGGTAATTTCTGCTGCAGGTATAGGGTTCTTCCCAGAGCAAGGAGAAACTAAGGGAGCCATTGTAATTCAGAGTGGTGCCTTTAAAGTACAGAACTTCCCAGAACTATTCCAGGTGCTATGCAGCCAATGCTCAGAACTGTGCTTACATGCAGAATAGAACCCATACCAAGATGGGAGGGATAGCCAGCATGGGTTTGTCATGGGTAGGCCTTGCCTGGCCAATGTCATCTCCTTCTATGACCAGGTGCCATATCACCTGGACAAGGGAGAAGTGATTGATGTCATATACCTGGATTTTAAAAATGCCTTTGATCTGGTGTCCCATGACCTCCTCATGGAAAAACTGGCCAACTGTGGCCTTGGCTACACCACAGTCCGATGGCTGGGAAATTGGCTCCGAGGTCGGACCCAGAGAGTAGTGGTCGATGGCAGAGAGTCACTATGGTGCTCCGTGACCAGTGACGTCCCCCAAGGCTTTTGTTAGAATGATTTCATCAGCAAAGTTAACATTAACATACAGTTCATTGCTGCTGCCAGCCCAGTAAAAGACACTTACATCTGATTTGCTTATTCACATTTAGACCCTTTCTTTCCCTTTGTTTGATCCCTTTTTAATAGCTATTTGTAATATCTGGGATGTTATCTAATCCTATATGGTGTTGTTGCAAGTTGCCTGCCAGCCTTGCCACAAAAATTGGACTGCTTAACTAGACCCTGATGCAGGTAATGGCTGCAAATTATATCTAAGCTTTGCAAAAAAAACTAAGGTCGGCCCAATGGCTTGTCAGCATCCTACATCCGACTTGTGATTTCTATATAGTTACAGATACTGATCTGTTTACCTGTAGGAGTCAGCTTAAAGTTTTAGTCATAGAAGAAGAATATATCCAAAAGGATGAAGCTGGGTCTCTCAGGGAACATCTACACATGCACTTTAATGTGCAGTAGCCAATTTTACTGTGCATTAAAGCATCACATGAAAACCGTGATTATGCAAATACTTTCATTACTGAGCATTTAGGCAGCCTAATGCACATTTCTTTAGTACCTCACACTGAAGGTACTAAATTTAATATGCATTAGAAAAAGCACCTTAATGTACACATAGACAGGCCCTTAAAGTGCCAAAAAGGCAGCTTAAACCACTACCACAGGGGCTTAGCCTACAATATGGAGTGACCAAATGGAGAGTGGAGCACACAGCAGGAGGAGAGGAACATGCTCCTCTCTACTCACAGACTATTTCTCTGGCTTTGTAGAAAACCTGTTCCTTATTTGTTCCACCACCACCAAGTCACAGAAATATTAATGAGCATTGTTAACCAGAGGACAGATTCACCAGCCAACCTAGTCAAAGCCTACTCTCTCAAGTTCAGCTCCATCTCCTTTCCTCAAAACAAATGATTAGTAAACAGAGAATAGAAATATTTCAAAACAGCAACAAAAAGGCAAAGACTCACTCTTCCATAAACTGAGAAGAGAGACCATACCTTCCACTCTGGAGTATACTTACACCAGCTTCTACAAAAAATCTTTTCTTACTCCTTTCCACACATTCCCCTAGGAAGCAGTCATATGACATTTGGTCAGCTGATTCTACCCCATCATGGGTTCTGTCTGGGGAATACAGCTGGTGGTTAGCTCTGAATGTCAAGCTGGTAAGATATGAAGTGACTTTAGACATTTTACTTCCAGGCCTCTGCAGTATAGGGAGTTCTACAATAAAAACCCCATGCTGGATCCTCAGACTTGTAGGGTAACCCCCTGTTGTCAGTCATCAGATTCACAGAGCAGAACAACACTATCTACAAGGCAACTCTTTGCCTGCTTAAAGACTACAAGGCTCAGGGGTGTTGCTTGTCAGAATATAGCTTGGAACTGCCCCGTGCTTAAGCCAGGTACATAGTGATAATAAACCTGGATGAAGAGACCATCAAGGCAGTACAGATATAGCCAATGGGCATGGTTGCATCCTAAAATCCTTCCTGGTTGAGACTCACCTAGATCTTCTGTGTGTGTACAGATACTATCTGTGAATTCTTAGTGAAGGAAGATAATCTTCTTGAGAAGCATCTTAATATTATTGAAAAGGATTCTGGGACTTGATAATACAGATAAATGAAGCTGAAACCCTCCTCAATTCCAGAACATGTCCACATCTGCACATATGGCATGTCTACATCTATAATTTGTTAAACAGGCTTATCTACATAGAAAAAGAGCAGAAAGACTATAAGTATGTAAGTTCTGTTTCTTTAAAACCAGAGTTGAAAACCAGTAGTCAGAAATGCTGGGGCTGGAAATTCTTCGCAGGTTTCTTTTTTCAGAGAGGAGAAAAGCTACCTGTTAATTAACACCAAAATCATAGGGGCGTATACCTACACACTATTATGTAAACACTGAGGCATGAATGCCTATTTGTACTGAATTCTATTCCTGATCCTAAAAAGGTGCTGAGAAATTCTGGACTCTCTCTACTCCCAGGGTCTGGTGGTCTTTCCCATCATGATATGAGTTTTATGGTAATATGCAGTTCCCACATTTACCATAAAAGCCTCTTTTTACAAACTGATATTGCTGAAGCGGGGTGGGGGGAGAAGTAGAATTAGAGGGGGGGAAGGGCATTTAGTTTGAACTGTGTTATCTCTTCACAGTAAACACTCTGAATGCCTAACTTACCATACCACTAACAGTAAGCAGGAAAATAAGGACACGAATTGCCTCAGGCTCAACGCCCAAAGGGCATATCAGAAGCTGCCAGTAAAGTATCAGCCTTGTTTAACATAAGACTATCCCTCTGTTAAATAAAATAGAGCTGTTAATATGGAATAATGGAACAATTATGTGCAATGTGATAGTATGAAGTGCGTTGAATGTGAGTGACAACCTTTCCAATTGTAAATGGAGATCCTGTCTGGTAGAACTGTTACTTGTTAGTTAAATGTAATTATAGACTTGCATTCACAATGTCTAAGTGCAGGAACACCATGTATCTTATTTACAGGCGTTTTCATGGGGATTTATTACACTGGCTGTTTAAAACTAGGTCATCTTGAAATCTGGAATATTGTGAGCACAGTTGCAAATATGTATGTCTAAAATGGTAGACACTTATCAATCCAGTGAGTTTAAACAAATTTAAAACGTCCTTGTTTTTCTTTTCTTCTGTATTCAAATTGCCTTTGTTCATTCCAACTAAAAACTAGCCCTTTTAAAATTAGGTTTTGCAGGTCCTAAGGGTATTAAAAGCTCGGCTTAGATCTAGGAATTATCAAAATTGACTACTGACCCCTTGCTAGGTGGCATTCTGGTACTAGAGGTGATGACTTTCAAATATGAAACAAATACCCTGACCTGCTACTAGAGGTGATGACTTTCAAATATGAAACAAATACCCTGACCTCCTGTGTTTTTAGATCCCATAACACATTTCATAAGAGAAGGGCTGATTAGATCCTACGTACTTAAAATTTACTCCCAAGATTTTAAATGGTGCAACATTTTTTTCCTTTTCTGTTTTAAACTGCTGTGTTAGCAATGCTGTGTACTGTTAAAAGCTACTGCCCAGGGTTCATTGCATCTCAGTGGAACCAGATGTATATCATTTGTGGAGCATATGGGATCCTTCAGGATGAAAAGTGCTAGAGAGCTATAAACTATTATAATTGACTAAACTGCCAGTGCCTGAATGGACTGACCTTGGAAAGGGCCATATGGAATAAGGGCTGTGACCCTGGGGAGACTGCCTCACTAGAGAAAGATTTACGCATTATGAAAGTGATGCTGACGCTGTCCTAGGAGCACCTCATCAAAATGCCCCACGGAGATGCCACAGTGAGGTTTTAAGTCTAGAATTGATTTGAAGATGGGGCAATTCCTGGAGGCTGGTATTCTGGGACTCAGCCATTTTGAATACTAGTTACCTATGCCTAAGATAAGGGTACTCCTCTGCAGTTAGAGGGGCAGCACTCAGCCACCTTATCTGTCTCTCTTGTCCTAGAAAAAGACAGTCCACGAAGAGGGACATATGACCCTGATCTGGCTGCTTCGGGCCAGAGCTGCCGAGTGTGACAAGTTATACAGATCATTTAGTACCCACATTCAATTCCTCCTTCTTTTTGGATGTAATAGGATAGCTTTTGAAAACTGCATGTCATCAATCCAAAAATACCTGGGAGCGTTGGAAGCATCAATGGGCACAAGCCTGTAGATTTCGGGGGAAATCAAAAAACTGGAAAAGACCCATTCCCACGAAGACCAAGTTAACAGATTGCCCACTTGGTGTTGCAGGCAAAGAAATCTCTGGGACACCTCGTGCAGCTGCTCCCTCACCACAGCTCTGCAGAGGTCGGGGCGCTTGGTGACACAAGAGCCACCCTGTGATTTTCCCCATCGTCACAAATCAAGCGAAAAAGAAGCACTGCCGTTTCCCGGGGGCACCTCGCCTCTTCCCCCGGCTGCCTGCAGCTGGGCAAAGGCTGCCTCGCATCCGCAAAAGATGATGGAGAAGCACTGCTCGAGAAAATGAAGAACCTCTGCCCCAAGGGCCTCCAGCATAAGGGCAGCAGGCCTGCACTGCTGCCTCAGAGAAGGGGCAATGCCAAGCAGGGCTGAGAGGGTCCAGGCAGCTTTCCCTTCCCCTCCAGCCTGAAACTATCAGCCAGCACAACCGCTTCTCAGCAGCCCCTCAACTTTCAGGGGTGGGAGCCCCGGGATCTCGCGCTAAGCTCCAGCTGCTGGAGTCGCGGGACCAGCCCTCAGCCCACAGCTCCTCCTCCCCCCGCTCCGAGAGCTAACGGAACGCGGGGCGGGGCTTCGGCGACGGGGCGGGGCTTCCCCGCGCCGCTCGGGGGCCGGGCCGGAAGTGCGTGGGCCGGTCTGGTGGCGTAGTTCCGGCGGGGGGAGGGGGTGACATGCAGAGCTGCCAGCAGCTGGAGCCGCAGCCCCGGGAGGGCATCCCATCCCATCCCCGGCGGGCCCCTCCCCGCCCCGGTGGCCGCAGGGGGAGGCCGAGGCCTGGTGCCTGCCCGGGGCAGCTGGGTGCATTCGCGGCTGTGGCCATGCTAGCCTGTGGCGGCCTCCCCGGGCTGACCCCCCCGGCAGGCTGGGCATCCCTTCTTGCCCGTGAGCGGTGGGGTTTGCTGCTTGGTGCTGGTGGGCGGGGGGTTTGCTGGCCGATCTCCTCCTCAGTCTCCGCGCTCTCCCTTCTGAAGTGATGTCTTCTGAGTCCTTTTCTAATGGGTATCGACAGCCCCGCGAGAGGCAGGGAGATCGATGTGTGGAGCCGGGCTCTGCTGTCCATTCACACTGAATGAGTCCTGCTCTGAGGTGTAGGCGGTAGCCGTGTTGGTCCAAGGCAGTGTCCAGGGCGCCACGGCACAAAAGAAAGGAGCGGGCGTGCCGCGGTGGCAGTGAGCTCTACAGTAGGTGTGTGGATGGGGGATGCCTTAACAGGTGTGCCGCAGAAAAAACATTTTTATTCATGTAAGTGCACCTTGGGCTGGGAAAAGTTGGGAAACGCTGGTCTAAGGGCATGGGCTGACAAGGTTCTTTGGGTAAATCTGATCTCTTTTATTAGACCAACTCAAATAGTTGGAGAAATTCTTTGTGCAAGCTTTTGGGTGCACGTGCTGAGGCAGCGTCTGCACTTGGTGTGTGCTTTGGCCCTGGGAGTTTTGGAAAGCCGAGTTGCATGCAAGCGGCACGGTCGGATTTCTGCTTCGGAGCTGCCGTACGCAACGAGCGGGGAAATCTGTAACGACCATCTTGAGCTGCTTGAGGAAAGCAGTTTGCTTCACAAATGTAGAAACTTAATAACGACTGCATGTTTCTGGATTTCCTTTTCAGAAGGTGCGCTCCCGGTCCGAGTGTTCATTAGTTGCAAACTTGCTATCGGTTGAAAGTCACATACGTCTGATGTTACAATTTTGCTAATCGGTTCTTGGTATGTTGTAGGCCCAGTGCTCAGGAAATGATTTTGAGTGATGTATTACTGTAAAAAAGCTGGTGTAATGTGAAGGTTGTAAATCTTGCCAGCAGAGGCACAGAAATTCAGTCATGCCTAATGTTGCAGTCTTGACTTGCATCATCAAACTGAAGTTCTTGCAGCATGTAAATTGCATAAGATCTTTGCCTGTTGGAAGACCTCTGCTGCATTTTGGGGCAGTTACTTGGGTTGGGCAGTATGAGCAATCCTGTAAAAAAATAAATAAATAAATAAATAAATCTTGTCCATAGATTTTTTTTGTTTGTTTGTTTGTTTGTTTTGGGGTTGGGGGGGGTTCCTTGCATTTTTATTGCTGTCTTCTAGCTGGTAGCACAAACTCAGTGTGTGTTGGTAGTTCATCCCTGATTGCCAGTTAGCCTCTGTGAAATGAATTGGTAAATTATTTTCCAATACAAGCGTTCTTTTAAAATGCTAACTGGCACCTTCGCTGCCAGTCTTGAGGAGCTGAAGGCTTGTTTCTTGTGGAATTGAATTAGTCAGGCTTTGCCAAGTGATTCCTTCAGGTCAGATTAGGGACATGTTGTCTGGGATGGGAATGCTTATAATACCACTGA